CGGCAGGAAGGTCCCGGGCCTCCCTTTCCACCTGTGAAGGCACAGGGACTCCGGGGCACTGCCTCCTGGCGGGGCACAATACACCTGGCCTCTGGGCGACCCCAGGAAAGGTGGCAAGTTTCCCCGGAGAGCTGGGTGGGTGGGGGGTACAGGAAGCCGCCCTGCAGCTTGGCCCCACCTTGCCCCCCACAGCTGAGAAAGTGAGCTCCTTGGGCAAAAACTGGCACCCCTTCTGCCTGAAATGTGACCACTGCCACAGTGTCCTGTCCCCCGGCGGGCACGCGGAGGTGAGACCCGCCAAGGTGCACGGCCCTGCCTGTAGCAGCCACCGCCCCCAGGCCCAACGACAAGCCTGCCAAGGCAACACAGCTGCGGGACCCCAAAGCCACCCATCCCATGAGCACCACACCAGCCTCCGCCTAGGGCAGCAGTGCCCCTCACCGGGCCTGACACTGGCCCCCCCCTCCCTCAATCTGTCAGCCATTCTGTCCCGTGCCCAACCATCACCAAGGCCCCACCATTCCCCACCCTCCCGCCTCTGCCAGCTGAGCCCAGTGGAGAGTCACCCTCCACCCACTGCCTGTTTGGGGGGGATGACCTATGGGACCCAGAAGAGCCACCACCACCCTTTGACCCTGAGCGACCCCCTTCCCTCTGCTTGTGCCCAGCACAATGGGAGGCCATATTGCCACAAGCCATGCTACGGGGCTCTCTTCGGACCCAGGGGTAAGTCTGAGCCTGGAGGGACCAGGGCACAGCATACCCTTCCTGTGGCCGCTGGCTTCTGGCGGGCTGCAGCCTGTATTTTCTCTGCAGGGGCAAACATTGGCGGTGTGGACTCCTACTGCTACAACCCCCCGACCCCCACCCCTGCCAGCACCACTCCCCTCAGCCCCAGCAGCTTCAGCCCCCCCAGACCCAGGACTGGCCTCCCCCAGGGCAAGAAAAGTAAGTGAGGTTGAATCCCCAACCCTCACCCCGAAACTTTTTCTGAACCCTCCCCTGGCTGGAACAGGAGGGGTGAGGAACAGCCTTCCACCCAGCTCTCTGAGGTAAATAGGGCAGATGGTGTTATCACCCCATTTTACAGATGAGGAGACCTGTCCACCCATGGCAGGTGAGCTTGTGTAGTCAGTGAGGCAGAGGCAGCCCCTGAGCCGGCTCAGAGCCCTGGAAGGAATACCTTATGGGGGAGGGGTGCTAGGATGGGGCAGCCCCCCACCTTTGTCAATATCTCCCCTTTGGCCCTATTCTTCCCTCCCACTGCCCAGACTGGGCACGGACGCCATGCTCCCCAACACCTGACACCTTTGCCCTGGCCAGCTCCTCTGTCAGGCTCAGGTTGCCTGAAGATTGGGTTGCTCACAGGGCTGGGCTACTGGGCCTCTGTGTCCTTGGGAGGGCCAGGAGGAAGTAGGTGGTCTGTTCCCATGCAGAGATGGGGCAGGGGAGAAGGTCAGAGGGGACTCAGAGTGGACTCATGGCTGTCTGACTGAGCCTGGGAGGCTCTGGGGTGAGCATAGTTTCTGGAAAAGGCTAGTGCCCTGCTTAGGTCCTGGCCCCCACCTCAAGCCCTGGCCTGGGCCTCTCCCCCTTAAAGGCCCTCCCCACCTGAAGACCTTCACTGGGGAGACTTTGCTGTGCCCTGGCTGCGGGGAGCCTGTCTATTTTGGTAAGTAAAATATAAGACGTGGGCAGCAAGGGGCAGAGAGGTGGGTCCCAGGCAGGCGGGCCGCCCATCCCCAGAGCCACCGCCTCTTTTCCCCACCAGCTGAGAAGGTGATGTCTTTGGGCAGAAATTGGCACCGGCCTTGTCTGAGGTGCCAGCGCTGCCGGAAGACACTGACACCTGGGAGTCACGCCGAGGTGAGCAGGGCAAAGATGGGTGGGTCTGTTGGGGGCAGTACCTGCTGGGAAGAGAGACAGGCTTAGATGGGCTTTGTCTTTCTTTCTCTGTCCCAGCATGACGGCGTCCCCTACTGCCACATTCCCTGCTACGGCTACCTGTTTGGCCCCAAAGGTGGGCAGCCCCACCCCAGACACCAAGCCAGAGTATGGCATGTCCATGGGCCGTGGGGATATGGGAACAACTCCCTCTGTGGTTGGATACCCCACCCCATCCTCATCCGGGTATCCTCAGCCCACAGCCGCATGGTAACAGAGCCCTCTCCCTCAGGTGTGAACATTGGCGATGTGGGCTGCTACATCTATGACCCAGCAGAGAGACAGCCCAAGTGAGGCCCTCACAGGAGAGACCACTCCAGCTCAGGCCGCCCACCACCCCTCTCCATAGTGCAGGGAGGCTGTGGGAGTCCCGTGGTGGTGGTGGGGCGGTGGCCTGGGTCTCGACTCCCTGGGTAGAGCAGGTTTGGACTGAGTGCCTGGCTTTTCGCTGCCAGCTCTTCCCTTCCCCATCCCTCGCTTCGCTGTCTGCTCATGGGTCCTAGGCCACCCCTTTCCAAGAGTGCCCTCCTCGCCCATCTCTTCCCCCTGGCACATTCTGGAGCTTTTCGGCCCTCATAAAACCATGTTTATTGAACTGCAGCCTCCCTGGATTCTCCAGTGAAATGCTTCCTCCCACGCTTTCGACTCTTCTGCGGGCATGAGGCCTCGCCCGCATCTGGAGAGTGTGTGTCTGTGTGTGCGCAGGGACAGAGGCCAAGCGATGCCTTGGCCTGCAGAGTATAGTGCCTAGGTGGTAACAGAAGAAGCTATGGGAACAAGGAACTCTCGTCCCTTGGTCCCCTGGCCCTGCCCACACCATGGGCATGCCCACCAGTCAGATTGGCGCCAGAGGTCATCGTTGGACAGACCCTTTCGTTAACAGCATCTCTACAATGTCATTCCATTTGAGTATGACAGTAGATCCTGTTGTGACTTCCTCGACTTCCAAGGTTACACAGCCAATCAGGTACTGCTGGGATCCATGCACAGACCTAATCCAGTGGCTTCCTGTCAAGGGTTCCCCCCACCCACCACCAGCAACTCGTTGCCATCCCAACCCAACAGAAGCCTTCATTCACACACTCCCCCAGCCAGGAAAGTGGAGGAGGATGCTAAACGCTCTAGCAGCCCACTGCATGCTGGGATGTTGCTCCATTGCTGGAGGCCGACTAGGGAAGGCTTGGTGCGCACAGGGAGGGGGCACTGGTGGCAGCTCGGGGCCTGGTAACATGGAAAGCAGAGGCCCTGTAGCAGAGCTCCCAGGGAGGATGTGGCCCTGGTCCTCCTCAATCCTCCAGCTGCTTCATGTGCATCTCTTCCTCCGGGAGGCTGGGGGCAGTGGGGGGAAAAAGTCATGAGCAGCTATAGCCCCTCAGCCTGCCACCCAACCTGCCCCAACAGGGCTGCCTCAGGGCTGTCCCCAGCCTCTGGTGTGCAAACACACATATGCTCACCCATGCCTGTATACCTACCTGATGTGTGAGCATACCTGAGTGTGCACAAGTAGCTCTCTTCCTGATGACTCTGGGTATTTGTGTACACGCTCCAGTTATCTAACCCAGCTCACCCACCCTGAAACCTGCTCAGCTGTGCACACGTACGTGTACCCACACGCATGTGCAGACAGAGGCCTGTGCATGTACGCACCTCTTTCTCTCCACGTCCTGGATGGTCTCTGGCAGTTTTGCCAGCTTGGTCTCCGGCAGCAGGAGGGCGGTGCAGGCAGCCAGCAGGGTGACACCCCCATACGTGAGCTTGGGCAGTGACAGCCACACTCCATCCAGCAAGGCCACCAAGGGGGCCAGAGAGCCCCCCAGCCGGCCCACCAGTGCAGTGTACCCCATGCCGGTCTGTCTGTTCAGAAGGAGGGTGAGTGGAGGTTGGTGCTGACACGTACTTTGACCAGGCCCTGGAGGGCTGCTTCCTGGGCTGGCAGGCCCTAGGGCACCTTCTCCCAGACACTTAAGGGGCTTCTTTCAGTTGGTCTTGTCCACCTGACCAGGGGCTCCCAATCTCAAACCCAGTAAGCTACCATCAAGAGCGTAATCATGGGTGAAGAAGAAAAAGTATGGGAGAGGAGATGGGGAAAGAGCAGTGTGGACCATAGGGTCAGCAGCTTGGACCATTGTACACAAAGGAGCAAACCCAGTCAATTCTGACTCATGGGCCCCCTATAGGACCCTGCAGAGCTGCCCGTAGTTTCCAAGGCTGCGATCTACAGAAGCAGACTGCCACTGCTTTTTCCTCAGAGCGGCTGGTGGGTTGGAACTGCTGACCTTTCAGTTAGCAGCCCAGCCCTTCTGCTCCCTAAGCATTAAACTGCCAGGCACGAGGGGGGTGGTTCAAACCCTCCCAGCTGTCCTGAGGGAGACAGATGAGGTTGTCTGCTCCCGTAAAGATTTACAGCCTCGGAACCCTACACGAATGGACTGTCAGTGGGGCTCAAACCCCTTCTCTCCTAGACTGAAACGGTGACCCCCTGCTCTCCCCGTGTGCTGCCTACAGTGCATGCTGTATGTCACAGAGCTCCTGGGCCCTGGGGCTAAAGCGCTCCGCTATGAACCCAAAGGCCGACACCCACCCTTGGGTCAGGGGTAGAAAGATGTGGCTATAAAGACTACAGCCTTGGGGATGGGGACAGTCCTCCTCTGTCCCACGGGGTCGCCATGGTCTGGAGAGCAGCAGGACTTGGGGGCTGGTCAAACCCTCCTGGGGCCGCTCACCTGAGCACGGTGGGGTACAACTCCGACGTGAACAGATAGGCCGTGGTGAATGCCGCTTCGGAAAAACCCTTCCCCATCACCTCCAGGGCGGTGCTCCAGAGCCCCCACTCTGCAGGAAGGGGAGTTCTGGCTGAGGGTCCCAGCCCCTCCCCCCCCCCCTCTACCTCTTACCCCCAAGACCTGCGCTGCTCTCGGCTGCGGGGTGAGGCTCACCAGAGGGCACCAGCGTCCGCACGCCCAGAGCCAGGGCAGCGCCCAGCAGCGTCCCCGCCTGTGTGAGCCGGCGTCCGGCGCGGCGCACCGCCACGTAGACCAGCAGTTTGGAGGGCAGCTCCACGGCGCCGAACAGCAGCTGCGTCTGGTACAAGTTCAGCCCCAGCCCGGACACGTTCAGGCTCAGGCCGTAATAGGAGAAGTTCACGCCGAACCTGCGGAAGGTAATGCTGTCACTCCGGAGCCCTCCCATCCCGTGGTCACACCTGCCAGTCTCAGCAGCCGTGCCAGGTGTGGTCCCCTCGCCTCCCCACCGTGTGCAGAAGGGACATGAAAGCTCAGGGGATTTGCGTGACCTGTCCAAGGCTGCACAGTAAGGAAGGGCAGAGCCGGAAGTTTGAACCCCTCTATGTCTTAGGCCAGCTCCGCCTGAGCCCCCCACCCACCCCGGACGGATCTGGCCGGGAAGCTGGCCCGCTGCCGCTCACCACACCAGCATGCAGCACAGCGAGATGTGCCGGAGCCGAGGGGTGCGGAACAGGTCAGGGTACGAGGGTCTCTGCTTCACGCGCTCCCCAGCGGCCACCTTGCTCAGGGCCTGGCTCGAGAGGAGACAAGGGGACGGATCCGTTGACTAGGAGGACACCTTGTGCTCAGGTTCGGGTCCACTCCCCTCCCTGCTGCAGGCGGAGCCCCGATGGGAAGTGTGACCAGGACTATATCCCTAACTTAGAGGGAATCTGGAAAGCTAAATCGAGAGAAAGTCCAAGCACATGATCCTGTTTTCATTGTCATCCCCGCAGATTCTCCCCTAACAGCTGTGCTGCCTTAAAGTGACCCCTCCCTGTCGAAGCAGATCTTTTTTGATTATCTCCTCCTGCGGAGGCACCCATTCCCCCTCATCTTCTTCCCCCAATGCAGGTATTGGGCTTCCTCACCTGGGAGCTCAGGGACTTTACTGTGATTCCCACCCACCTTGTGACGTATGTAACTCCTGAATATGCGTGACTAATGGCTACCTATAAAAGCCCCCAAACAGTAAAGACCCGCCTCCTCCCTCTCCCTCTGTCTCTTCCTCCCATCTCCCACCTTCACGTGGACCACCAAGAGGGGCAGAGGTGAGCCTGCTACCATGAAATGTGTCTCATGCGACCATGAAATGTGTCTGACTCCTTTATTTTACCTTCTCTTCTATCCTCTATGACTTTACCATGATCTTTAAATATTGCCGCCCTGCAGTTGTGCCTGTGGACCCGCGATTGTCAGGGGCTGGCTACCTTGGCAGGAGTCCATTCCAACTCAGAGGGACCCTCCCCGTAGGACAGAGCAGAACTGCCCCCGGGGTTCCGAGGCTGTACATCCTGACAGGACCACAAAGCTTCATCTTTCTCCAGAGGAACAGCTGGAGGTTTCGAACTGCTGACTCTGCGGTTGCCAGCCCTGTGAGTAACCCACTGCACCCCAAGGGAGTTGGTTAGGACAGTGGTTCTCAACCTTCCCAATGCCGTGACCCTTTAATACAGTTCCTCATGTGGTGACCCCCAATCATAAAATTATTTAGAACCATCCAGTAGATCCCTAGGAACGTACTTGACACAAGACACATTCACACATGCATATACTCACACATACATGCACACACACACACACTTGCACACACATGCACATGCATACAAGCACATACATGCACACATATGTGCACATATTCACACATACCCACATTCATACACATATACACATGCACACATATAGAAGCACATACACATACATACCCACACTCTCACATGAACATACATGCACATTCACACATACACTCACACACACATACACACACACACTGGCTCTCACCTCCCAACTCAGGCCGCCCTCACCCACGGGCCGTCTGTTGAGCTTGGCGCAGTGGAGCAGGTACCTGTGGGCCTCCTCCACACGGCCCTGGGTCAGAAGCCAGCGGGCAGACTCAGGCACCCACCTGCGGGAGCAACAGGGGCCCTTTGACTCCAGAGTCAAGCTCTGGGATTGACTCACAACAGCACCCTTAGACACAGGCTGTCCTCATCAGACCCTTGCTCAGACAGCCCTCCTCAGGCTGTCACCTCCATCCCCGCACACACCTGACTGTCACCTTCTCCCACCCACACCTGACTGTCACCTTCTCCCACACACACCTGACTGTCACCTCCATCCCCACACACACCTGACTGTCACCTTCTCCCACACACACCTGACTGTCACCTCCATCCCCACACACACCTGACTGTCACCTTCTCTCACCCACACCTGACTGTCATCTTCTCCCACCCACACCTGACTGTCACCTTCTCCCACACACACCTGAGTGTCACCCTCTCCCACCCACACCTGACTGTCACCTCCATCCCCGCACACACCTGACTGTCACCTTCTC